AGAGTGCAGTGCTGATAACACCAAGGCCATGGGTTTGGATCCTATATAGGGATGGCCGTTTCGCTCACTGGCTGAGTGTGGTGCCGACAACACCAAGCCAAGGGTAAAGATCCCCTTACTGGTCATCTTTAAAAAAAAAAAAAAAACTGTCTCTGTGGGCATTGCTAAATTCTACATTCAGGTAGTTAAACACCTACGAGGGGAGAGAAAGTATGCAGTCACCTACGATATACAGATAGAGTCAGACTTAGGTAACAAGAGCAATCATTCCTGAGAAGCTAACTCACCTGACCTCAAGCTTCATCCCAACCATGAGACTAAGCCTTCTTAGTCCCATTTTACCAATGACAAAACCGAGGTTCAAAGGGCTCGGCATATCATTTCTCCATTGGTATGAAACAAACATCCCACACCTTAGTGGCGAAAAACCACAACCATTTATTTGCACACAAGCCTGCATTTGGGGCAGGGCTTGGTTGGGCGGGGCTTGTGTCTGTTCCATGTGGTGTTTGCTGGAGCAGATCCATTGAAGCATCCCAGATGGGCTCTGCTGGGTGGCCAGGACTGGAGGCTGGCTGGGTTTCCCTCTCCAACGGGGCATTTAGACTTTCTACGTGGACACAGAAAGCTGGAACAGAGTTACTTCTGCTGCAGTCTATGGTCAGAGCAAGTCACAGGGCAAGCCCAGATGGGAGGGGGAGGAGAGGGAAATAGAAGCCATCTCTTGATGGGAGAAGCAGCATGGGGTCAGTTTACTCACCCAAGGTCACACATTCTGACAGAGCTAAGTGGTAAACCTGGGTCTGAGCCATTATAATCTGTTCAATTCCCTTCCTCTAGGCCTTTGTACCCGCTGTGTGCTCAGCTGGAGAACTTCCTCCACTGCCACTTCACAGATTGGCTTAACTTCTACTCTCCCTTTCATCAGGAGACATCGCTTTACCCTGGAGATTTTGTGGAGCTCCAGAGTTCTCCTCTGTATTCCCAGAGCGGCCTCTGCTTCCCGGATCCCATGCACTGTAATTGCTGCTTATCCACTGGCCTCTCCAGTTAGAACTCAAGGGGCCGGCCTGTGGCTCACTCGGGAGAGTGTGGTGCTGATAACACCAAGGCCACGGG